TCTCAAAAAAAAAAAAAAAAAAAACAAAAAGTGGGAAAAGGACATGAACAGAAATTTTTCAAAAGAAAACAGAATAATGGCCAAGAAACATGAAGAAATGCTCGAAGAGATATTCGTACCGCTATGTTAATAGCTGCAAAATTCATAGCTAAAAATGTGGAAGTAACCTAAGTGTCCACTGACAGATGAATAGATAAGCAAAATGTAGAACATAAATACAATGGAATATTATCCAGCCTTAAAAATGAATGAAATTCTGACATTTGCTACAACGTGGATGAACCTTGAGGACATTATTCTAAGTGCAAGAAGCCACTCACAAAAAGACAAATACAGTCAGCCCTCCATATCCCTGGGTTCCACATCCATAGATTCAGCCAATTGCAGATTTTAAATATTCAGAAAAAAGAAATTGCATCTATGGAGAATACGTACAGACTTCTTCTTCTTGTCATTATCCCCTAAATAATATAGTGTAACTACTTCTATAGCATTTACATTGTATTAGGTATTATAAGTAATCTAGAGATGATTTAAAGTATATGGCAGGATGTGCACAGGATATATGCAAACATGACATCATTTTATATAAAGGACTTGAGCATCCATGGATTTTGGTATCCGCAGGGGGGGAGGGTCTTGGAACCAACCCCCCTGCCCCAAGATACCAAGGGACAACTGTACTGTATGATTTCACTTACATGAAGTACTTAGAGTAGTCAAAATCACAGAGATAGAAAGTAGAACAGTGATTGCTGTGGGAAGGGGGGAATGGGGAGTTATGGTTTAATGGATGTAGTTTCAGTTTTACAACATGAAAAGAGCTCTAGAGATAGAAGGTGATGATGGTTGCAAGACATTATGAACCACTGATCTGTACACTTAAAAATGGTTACAATGGCAAATTTTATGTTATATGTATTTTACCACAATAAAAAAAATGGAAAAAAACAATTGTAAGGAATGTTCTCCTAGAAAAATTGCTGAGTGAAGAAGGTTAAATACAGAAAGATATGTATAGTATACTCCAATTAGAGTATTTTTTTGCTTTAAGACTATACATATCTACACACATAAAGTATATACATATGCTATACATGGGTGGATATATATGTATATACATATATTTATGTAATCCATATTTAATCCTCATTTTGCAAACAAGGAAAGCATACTTCAGAGAGGGAAAGAAACAGGTCCAGCCAGGATCATACAGATAGTAAATTTTACAGCCAGCATTCAAACATAGGTCGATCTGCTTCTAAAGCCTATATTTTAATTATATTTTTAATTGTATACTGATCATTTATTACATCTAGCTCAGAATTAGGTGCATCAGGCAGATAAACTAAAAGTTGATAGAATCCAAAAAAGAGGTAGAAATAGCTAACATTTCATAAATGAAACAAGCTAACATTTTACAAAATAATGAAGGAATCTGATTCCTTTTTCAAAAAAAAAAAAAAGTAAATTAATTGTAACTGTAGATAATAACCAGAAGCATAAAGAAGGCACCTAACTGGGAATTTCTTCAATGAACTACAAATAGAAATTAATTATGAATGGGTGATAACACGATTAAATACCACTCAAAGTTAAATTAATCTGAGAAACCATATGGTCTCCACAGGAGCTTTGTGAATTAAAACAATATTAAGAAAGGAAAGAAAGAAAAGAGGCAGGGAATCAGAGACATAGGGAGAAGGGAAGGAAGAAAGGAAGGAAAACATTTTTAATTACAATCACTCTTTTGAAAAGCAAATTTCTCTTAGGCATTAGGTAATATGATATAGAAGCCAGTGTGTGATATGAACTTTATCTCATGGAAATAAAAGCAAACAGAAAAAATGGTAATAAAATTTAGGAAAAATTATGTTATTTCACACAGTTTTAAAAGAATTGTATTTAAATAATTTCATGATCATATCTTGTCATGACACAAAGAGTATGAGATATACATGAAAAATAGTGTGAATTAACATGTTATTAATGGACCTCATCCTAATTACTAATTCATTCTACATTAATGTTGAAAGTGCAGTGGCACAGAGTTAAGGGCACTGGACTTGGAGTAAAAAGCCTCAGATTTTTATTTTCAGTTGAACATTTTGGGGCAAGTCAATTATCCTGTTGATTTGAAGTTTCTTAATGTGTAATATGGAAATAAATACTTGCTCTGCCAAGGTATAGGTGTATTGCATAGTGACAATGAGACATGTTTGAAAGTAATCTATAAATTATCAAATGCTATCTAAATATATGGTACTATATTTTCTAATAGTGTAAAGTATCCCAAATTATTTGAAAATATCAAAGTTCTAGATTTAATAAATATTGTTATGCCCTGAATGTGCATTAAGTTAAAAATTGACATGTATAATATTTTACATTACAGTATATTTTTGAGAAACCATAAATGCCAAGTAGAACTCATTACACATTGATAAAGTTAAAGGCAAAATTCCAAGGAAAAATACTCCCAATTCATTAATAAGAC